CCCCCCTCTCCCATCTTCAGTTCCTACTTCCACGCAGGATCTCAGCACCTCCAATCAATTTTGATATGTTTTTTGTACCTGTGCAGTGCAGAAAACGCATACTGACGAGGAGTTGTCTGTATGTGTCTGTGTATGCGTTTGTACGATTTTTCATCTCAAGATCTATGAAAGCTACAGGGCTAAAACTTTGAGAACTTAATCTACATGCACGTACGGGCCCCAATTTCCAAAGTGGGCGCTCTTACCAGTGCGGTAGCTACGTACAAGCCCGACAAAGCTTCTGGGAGGGAAGCTGCTAACTCGGAAATCAGAAAAGCTAGAAAGCTGAAATTTTAGCGAGATGTTCTCCATTCATGCAGGTATTAATGAGCTCAAACCCAAATCCCATTCCTTCCGTCAATCCCATCCACTTCTAACCTCTACTCCACCATTCAAGGCAAGGTCCAATTTCCAACTTAAATCCCTATGCAACTCGAAAATGCATCACTCTACCCCATTCTCTGCCCAGCCGAATTCTACCAATTCCTGTCGTTGCCCACACACGAAGGCTACACGTGCTCACGCGCAATCTACCAACAGCATTTGGTTCCCTACGGGATCAAGTTCAGGGCGTACAGCGTCCAATGCGCACTGGTTCTACTCGTTTTGCCTCTAGTGATGTGATCAGGCGTTATTCGTGGCGTGGTACTCTAATTACGCAGCTGGCACCTGTTTCAGCTGCTCTGAGCAGTGCTGCGTCATCTGGTGATCAGGCTATTGGCGATCCTGACGTTCGTTTCGTTTCGTCGCCTGAAGGGATTACCAGCTCTGTGTATTCTCCAGACAGAAGCGCTTTGGCGAAGCAGCTTCGAGACGTCGCTGGCGTCTGTTGAGCATCCCTCCCGCCTCGGGCGTTACCGCCCGTAGACTGCAGCGAGTTCCGCGACGACTGGGAGCTTCTGCCCTCTTCGTTTTGTTTAAAATGAAGTGTAAGATTAAGGATGATTTTGCTGCAGCGGGCTTCGCTGAGCCAGAGAGGCGAGACTGTTGCCCGGGCAGTACGCCTTCGTGTGTGGGCAATGACGGGAACTGCTAGAATTCGGCTGGGCAGGGTGGTGGGGTGGAATGATGCATTTTAGAGTTACAGAAGGATTTAAGTTGGAAATTGGACCTTGCCTTGGATGGTACAGTAGAGGTAAGAGGTAAATGGAACTGGCGGAAGGAACGGGGTCTGGGTTTGAGCTCATTAATATCTGCAAGGATGGGGAACATCTCGTTAGAAATTCAGCTTTCTAGCTTTTCTGGTTTTCGAGTTAGCAGCTTCCCTGCCAG